CACTCAAGAGGATGAAGCAGGAGGACCACAAGTTCCAGGTCAGCCAGAGCAACGCAGGGAACCTCATAGTTTGGATGTGATGGTTAGTTATGAATGTGCCTCTCAATAATGAGAGGAGAAATAATTAGACTACAAGAGCTGTAACCTAATTGGTCCATCTCAGTCTAAAAGGACTAGCTGAGTGGTAACTGGTAACTGTAAGCAGGTGAGGTATATGCTGGAGGAGGTGGGTCACTGTGGCAGAGGGTTAGGGAGCCCCTTAGAAGGGTTCAAATTCCCTTCAGTCATTCTCCAACCCATGCTTCCTGGAAGCCCTTAGTGAAGCAGTGCTCTTCCATCACACCCTCTGCCATGATGGTCTGCCTGTCTGCCTGATCTTGGGCCCAGAACAATAGAGTGGTCTATCAAACACTAAACCACTAAACAGACAGCCAAAATACACTTTTTCTCCTCTAAGTTGTTCTTGTTAGATGTCTTGGTCACAGTGATGGAAAACAAAGATAAGAACTGACACCAGGAGTGGGGTTATTACTGTGACTAACCTGATCATGTGGTTCAAAAGTCTTTGAAACACGCTTATATGAGGAGTTTGAAGAAGTCTGAGTATGCAGGCTGCACAAGGGTTAAAATGTTGTAAGCATACCTTAACAGGCAATTCTGGTGGCAGTCCTAAAGATCAAAATGCCAATAGGAATAGACAGCAAGGACTATGCACATGAAGTTTCAGAGGGAAATGAGAGCTCTATTGGAAATTGGACTTGAGGCCACTGTGAAAAATTCTGGCAAAGAATTTTTCTGTTTTAACTATATCCTGAGACTTTATATGTGGCTAAATTTAGAAGTGATAGACTAATTAATCTGGTAGAGAAAACTTCAGGACAGTGTAACATTCAAGTAGTGGTAAGGCTATTGCTGGCAGTATTTAGCTAGGTATACTGTGAGAATTGGTAACAAAAAGAATGAAAGAAGGATTTATGAAACTTATCATTTGGCCACAAAAGTACATATAAAACTGAAGCCAAGGAAGCTGTGCTTATTATAGCTATGAAAGAGATGCTAAGTACTTTGCAAAAAGATAACAGAAAAGATGGTTTGAGGACAGCTCAGTATTTTGCCAGACCATATCCATTGCAGGTTCAAGAATATAAACAGGAAAATTCTTTTAGAAAAGAGATCATGAAGACCCCCTGATAACACAGGGGGGTCATGTTTTACTGTGCTCAGCTGCTGAGGTACTCAGAGGTCATGTTCCCAGGGGGCCTAAATATTGCTAAGCTGGCAGGAGACCTTGACATCATCCACACTATGCAAATTCTACAGAAATGCAAGACGCTAGAGTTAAGTGGTGGTGCAGGCTTCCACTAAGATTTCAGAAGAAGGACTTGGAGACCAGGCAAAGTATAACAGGATCAGAATTCATATAGGCTGCCCTTAAGAGGTGAGCTATAAAGGTGAAATCAAAGCTAGAATTTAAGAAGACCCCAGAAATTAAGAGATGCCAGTAATTTCTGTCTGTCTGCCAAGAAAAGGTGCTATATGCAGAGAGAGCCAGGCTAAAAGGGAGGCCATATATGCTGCTACCAGCAAGTGCAAGGGGTAGGACTACCCAAGCTCTTTGGAGAATACATCTCACCATCACATACCTTAGATTCTATACACAGTTATTTGTCTGGCTGAGGATAATAAGTCTTATTTGGAAACCTTTAGTCTGGACCAGTGTATACTGGATATACCTAACTCACTTTTGGTCTTTATAGGGGCTCATAGTAAAACTGAGTTTGTCTTTGATGAAACTTTGGACTTGGATTTTCAGCAATGCTAAAATTCTTAAGACTATGAATATACTCAGATAAACTAAACCATTGTAAATTGTGAGATGAACATGAGTTTTTGGGGACAGGGGTAGGATGCTACAGTTGTAATCTAAGGTAACCTCCAAAAGCGACTATATTAATACAGGAATATCCAGAGGTAAAATTTAGATTATGAGAGCTGTTATCTAACCAGTCTATCCTACTTTAAATGAACTAACTGGGTGGTAACAGTAGGCAGGTGTGGTATGGCTGGAGGAGGTGGGTCATGGGTGGGGGGTTTCCCTTGGAAAGGGTTATCTTCCCTGGGGTCCCTCCCTACCTGCTCTGCTTCTAGGCCACCATAAATGGTGTACCCTTCTACAATTATATTCTCCTTTACCTTAAGCCTAGGACAATGGCATCAGCCTACCTTGGATTAAACTTCTAAAACAGAGAGCCAAAAATATATTTTCCTTTCTTTAAGTTGTTCTTGTTGGGTATTTTGGTCACAATGCCCCAAAGCTGACTAACAGAGGGAATCCCTGTCTCAAAATTAAACAGGGCTGGTAAAGTAGCTTGATAGTAAGCCCTGGATTCAATCCTCAGAACTGCAAAAATCAAAACAAATAAATAAATAATAATTGTTATCAAAAAAGTTGCTATGTGGATTAAATGAAAACCCGAATGCAACATTTGATTCACTGCAAAGAAAATAGGATATGCCCAATAAGTGTTTACTATAGTTATAGTTGAAACCTTCCTCCTCTACTTGAAACCCCAAGAAATTTGGAATTCAATATTAAAAAATGTTCTACTACGAAGAAAATATTTTTTTCCTTCTTCTTTAAACTATATAGTGAGTGTCCCATCAAAATCAATGTCAAATTTAAGGTCTCCTAAAAAGAAACAACTGCCTCTTAAATTTCTATTACACTGACTCTTGTTTCAAATTCATATTCTCTCCGATCTTGATTTTAATTGTGTATGAGAATAAGCAAATACAGGAATGTATGACCCAACTGAATAACAAAGTGAAAAAAAATATCAAGTTTAAACCCAGAATGAATCCTAGTAATTCAAAGACTCTAGAAATTCAATAGGGGGTTCAGACTATTTTAAAATTACTATACTTTACTGAAGTAGACAACAAATTTAAGTTGAACATATAGAAAAGAAGTTTCAAATTAAAAAAAATATGACTTACATGTAAAACCACCCTAGATATTTGAAATCATGTAAACAATGAGGGCAATAATGAAGACTTTGGCCAAAAGTAATTCTTAACCTATAGGAACATTATGCCTCACATGGAAAAGTTAAATTTATTGCTTTTAAGAGATGTTTCATATATAGAGGATGGATTATAAATGGTTTGTTCAAAGCATCAAAGACAGAATACAGATCTGGATATGGTGATACACACCCATAATTCCAGCCACTTGGAAGGCTGGGGCAGGAATGTTGCAAGTAGGAGGCTACCTGGGCAGCTTAGCAAGACTGTGTCTTTGGRAAAAAAAAAAAAAAACAGTATGGGGATTTTAGGTCAGTTATACAGCACTTGCCTGGCATATACAAGGCTCTGAAATCCATCTTTGATACTGGGGGAATAAAACAAAAAAAGTTTTTCAGTTTAAATCAAAACACAGTGGCAAATTAAAAGCATCTAGTAGAAGGAAACACAATAGGAAACCATATTCCTTTCCCTGTCACTGAAAGTTTTGTTATCAATAACAAATAATAACTAAAAAGATGTCACCTAAAATTTCAGTTGGTTTCCTTACTTAGAGAGTTAGAAGTTGGATCTATTCTCCAGGAAAGGTAAGGATTTCATCTGCCTAGTTAAGTAAAATAGAAAACTCAATCACAAATCAGCTTCAATAATAATAATTATCTTAAGAATTATCTTTGGAACTTTGGAGTTTCCAAAATGCAAAACAAAAACAAACATCCCAATTGAAAAATGGACAGGCCAAGGAATGGTAGCATCTGTCTGTAACCCCAGCTACTTTGAAGGCCGAGGCAGAAAGGTCACTTGAGCTGAGGGGTTCATGACTTCAAGACCAGCATGAGCAACATAGTAAGACCTGTCACAGAAACACAGGATAAGCTGGGCATGGTAGAGCACACCTATAATCTTAGTAACTCAGAAAGCTAACTAAAGCAGGAGGGTCAAAATTTCGACTCTAACCTGGATAACTTGATGAGACCCTGTCCCAAATAAGAAGGGATGGCGATGTAGTTCAGTTATAAAGAGTTCCTGGGTTCAATTCTCAGTAACACAAACAAAAAGCAAAACTACACAGGACAAAAAAATTTGAATAAATATTTTGCCAAAGATATATAAATGGTTGACAAACACTTGACAAGATATTCAACGATTAGAAACTAATGATTATAATGATTACAATAAGTAAAACAAAAAATAACAAGTGCTGACAAGGACATGAAGAATCGGAGATGCTTGTGATACGATGGTAGGAATGTAAAATGATGTAGCTGTTGTGGAAAACATTGTGGAAGATCCTCAAAAAAATTAAACATTATATTACCATATGATCCAGAAAACACAATAGACAAAAGGTAGAAGAGTAAATCAAGTATCCACTAATGGATAACTGAGAAACAAAAAATAGTATACACACACAATAGAATATTATTCATCCTTAAAAAGGAAGAAAATTGTGAGACATGCTACCATATGGATAAAGTTGAAGACAACATGTCAAATTAAATAAGCCAGTCATAAATGGACAAATACTTTTTTATATTTCTTTGGTATGAGGTTCCCAGAAGATAATAGGAGGAGAAAATGTGGAGGTAGTGTTAAACAGGTACAGAGTTTCTATCAGGCAGTTCTACCACAATGTGCATATACTTAATGATAGAGAAATGTACACTTAAAAATGGGTTAAATGGCCAATTCCATGTTATGTATATTTTCCTAAAAAGTTCACTAAATGTCTTAGCATTCTTAAATAAGAAAAGAATATACTTTGATGATTTGAACCTATTTGACTTAGCTTAATGTGAGAACAAATCTGATTTTTTTTTGCTCTTTTTCCTTTAAATTAAAACAACAACAAAATAACCCTTATTTTATAGGAAGGTTCTCAATTTGAGATAGAAATTCAGAATTATATAGTTGAGTAGAGGAGAAGAAGACAGAAGAGATTACAAAACAAAGCAAAAGAAAACACACAAAAAAACCTTGTTTAGGTGTTTCTTCTTCTTTTTTAGTCTCCTCGTCCTCTAAGATGGGACTTTCCCGGGAAGAGATGTCCTGCTGGCTAGAGTTTTTCAATAGTACAGGATCAATTTGTGCTTTGAGGAGTGCAAGAGTCTCAGCCAACTCGTTTCGATTTCTAAACAAGGGAAGAAACAAGACAGTATAAAAATCTTCATTCTGAAGAACTTTTGGAATAATACCTATTAGAAATAGGTATTTTTTAAAAATATTTATTTTTTAGTTGTAGTTGGACACAATACCTTTATTTTATTTATTTTTATGTGGTCTGAGGATCGAACCCAGGGTCTCGCATATGCGAGGTGAGTGCTCTACTGCTGAGCCACAATCCCTACCCTGGAAATAGGTATTATTATAAAGAAAAAAACACACATTTAAGAATATCGAAAACACAGGTGCAGCTGGCCATAATTAACCCTGAATTCTAAAAATAAGTATGAAAAAAGGCATGTTATAGGGCCGAGGTTGTGGCTCAGTGGTAGAGCGCCTGCCTAGCATGCGTGAGGCACTGGGTTCAATCCTGGGCACCACATAAAAAAATTTTAAAAACAAATAAAATAGAGGTATTGCACACCTCTACAACTAAAAAAATTTAAAAACAAAAAAGAAAGGCATGTTATAATTATATCTAATATTGGGATTCATAGTTACATGCACAATATAACTGAAATTATTCTCTCTACTGATTAGAAAAGCAATGCGTATCTCTTTGAATGAAAGCAAAAAATAGGACACTAAACAAAAACCAGAAATTAATCACTGAAAAATATTCTGTAATCTCTAAGAAGATTATTATCAATGCAAAACTTGATTGAAGAAGTAGTTTTTAAGCTACAGCTAAAAAAAAATTTTATGGGGCTGGGATTGTGGCTCAGTGGCAGAGTGATTGCCTTGCATGTGTGAGGTACTGGGTTTGATCCTCAGCACTACATAAAAATAAATAAATAAAAGTATTGTGTCCATCTACAACTAAAAAAATATTAAAAAAAAAATAAAATAAAAAAATAAAAAAATTTTTAAAAAGAGTAGTTTTTTAAATAAAGTTGAGTTAATTGGAAAGAATTTTTTCAATCTTCAGAGATAGTAGCATCTTATACTTTTATAAAATTATGATCTAGAACTTTCTGAATAATTATGGCAAAAAGCTCTAATAAGTTAAAAAACAAAAGGGTTTAGTTGATGATTTTGTTTTGCCAATGATGATTTATACCTAAACATGAGAACTCAGTTTCATTTAACAATACAAGGAAATCCCCCATAAATAAAATTCTTGGGGCTGGGGATGTGGCTCAAGCGGTAATGCATTTTCCTGGCATGCGCGGGGCACTGGGTTCGATCCTCAGCACCACATAAAAATAAAGATGTTGTGTCCACCAAAAACTGAAAAGTAAATATTAAAAAAAAAAAATTCTCTCTCTCTAAAAAAAAAAAAAATCTAATCTACAAATTATTTTTTCTAGCAAAAACAAAAGTGTAGTATGGTTACTTTAAATGCTATTCAAAAATAAGAAAACTCACTTGGATAATTTTCCTGCTCAAACAAAGAATATGAGATGGTGAGTGTGAAATAGAGTTCAGAAACTTAGCTCTAGAGCTGATACTAAGGTAATCAAAACATGACTTTCTTCAGCCAAGTTCTCAAAGAACTGTGCATGTACCTTGAATTCCATGTAAGATAGATGACATTGTTAGTTTTCAGTTGTGTCATATATCCCCAATCCTATTCATGTCCAGATATATGCCAGCTAGACTCTACTGCTTGAGAGTTAAGTTGGATTAAGTGGACTCTAAAAGAATGTTTAATGAATGAAAGTAATACTTTTCCATAAACAAGATGTCTATGTGCCCCTAGATAAGTCATATACACACTGAATATTCCTTTTCTGAAATGCTTGGAATGAGAAGTGTTTTAGGTTTCAGATTTTTCTGATTTTGGAATATTTACACATGCATAGAGAGATATCATATGGATGAGACCCAAGTCTCAACCAAAAGTTCATTTTTATACATGCTTCCTACATACAATTGGTAATTTCCACATTTTTAATCATTTTGAATATTAAACAACACTTGTACACACAGACATTAGAAAACAAAGGTGTCACTATCTCAGCCTCCATGTGGACAGTCTTAAGATATTTGGCATCATCATCATTCCTGTCTCTTGAGTTTATATACTACCAAAAAGCAATCACTTTCTTATACTTATTCACATACGAATAAAAATTATTGCCAGGTATGGTGACATACATTTGTAATTCCAGCAACTCAGAAGGCTGAGGCAGGAGGATCACAAGTTTGAGGCCAACTTCAGCAACTTAGCAAGGGTCTAAACAACTTAGTGAGAGAGACCCTATTTCAAGTAAAAAATAAAAAGGGCTGGGGATGTGGCTCAGTAGTAAAGCATCCCTGGGTTCAATCCCCAGTATTAAAAACACACACACAGAGTATATCATTCATATAGTTAAAAAAATGATGTATTCAGGGTTACTACACAGCACAATAGCCTATGCAAGCTGTTTCACAAAACAATAAACAGGTTCCAACCTCCACCTACAATAATGTTTTGATTAAAATGTTAATGTGCACTGATTTTGTGTTTTCTAATGTGAGAAGAAATATCAGAAGCAGTTCAAGGACCAACGAGGTGAGTCTTCTAGGGATGAAGAAACATTCTGCTGGATGGCTTTTTAAAATGTTTCTTCCAGAGTCATATGCATCATGAACAATTGTTTTTGTTTTAGAAGTCTTTGGTGTTATAAACTAACATTATTGCATATTTTTTCCATATACTTTATTAAGTAAAACTGAAGTACAATAAAGTGTACATATTTGAAGTATGCAATTTGATGAATAACATGTATATAACTAATACAATCAATACAAAAAGCATTTTGTTGCTTAAATTTGAAATCATGCAGACTGTGTTTCCTGCATGATTTATTACATTAGAAATCAATCACCTTAAGATACATAGAATCCCACCCCATGTCTACCGTTTCAAAATTAAATGGCACACTTAATCTCTGAGGTCAAGGAAGAAAGCACAAGGAAAGTAAATAAAAAGTACTTTGAACTAAGTGATAATAAAAGCTGAAAGTATTAGGATCTCTCAGATGAAACAGTACTCAAGTGAACATTTATAACTTAAAGTACTTGTATCAGAAAGAAACTAGAATAACAATCAAATTATTTTCAAATTAAGTAGTAGGAAGGAAAAAATAAGTGTAGGAGAAGAATTATATGAAATAGAGAAGAAATGATACAGCTAAAAGTTAATATAAATCATATAAATCAAACAAGTCTAATCAAGAAAAAAGCAAGAACACAAAAATAATGGAACAGAAGTTATCAAAGTAACCCTACAGATGCTAAAAATATATTAAGGTAATATTACAATTTATGACAATATATGTGATAGCTTACATAACATGATCTATATTAAAGAAGGATCCATGTACTGCTGAGAAGAAAATGTATTCACTCATTGATGGATGAAATATTACATATATAATATATATGTTAAATCTAAATTATAGATTGTATTATTTATTTCTATAGTTTCTTTATTTAGTTTTTGTTTGGAAAGTGTCTTCAGTAGTGAGAGAGGTGTGTTAAAGTCACCCAGTATTAAGATATTGTGATCTATTTGAGTCTTGAAGTTGAGAAGTTCGTTTGATGAATGAAGATACTCCATTGTTTGGGGCATTAATATTATGAATGTTATATCTTGTTGATGTATAATTCCCTTAACCAATATGAACTGTCTTTCTTTGTCCCTTCTGATTTACACTGGCCTGAAGACCACTTTATCAGATATGAGCATAGAAAACCTTGCTTGTTTATGCAATCCATATGATATGTTTTTTCCCATACTTTCACCTTCAATCTGTAGATTGAAGTGAGTTTCTTAGAGACAGCATATTGTTGGGGGTTTTTTTTGTTTGTTTTTTAAATCCAATCTGTCAGTTTATGTCTTTTGATTGATGAGTTTAGACCATTAACATTCAGGGTTATTATTGAGATGTGATTTGTACACCCAGTCATTTTGGTTTATTCCTAGTTTTTAATTTGAATTAAGTTTCTCCTTTGATTGACTGTTCCTTTAATGTAGTTCTTCCCTTTATTGGTTTTCATATATTTTTTATTTCATATGCATGGAATATTTTTAAATGCAGGCTTTCTGGTTAAGAATTCTATTAGTTTTTGTTTTATCATGGAAGGATTTTATTTCAATTTCAAATCTGAAACTTAATTTTGCTGGACATAGGATTCTTGGTTGGAATCCATTTTCTTTCAGAGCTTGATATGTTATTCTAGCACCGCCTAGCTTTGAGGATCTGGGTTAAGAAACCAACTGATATCCATATTAGATTCCCCCTGTATGTAGCTTACTATTTTTAAAAAATTCTATCCTTATTCTGTATACAAGGTATTTTCATAATGATGTGTTTTGATGTGGGTCTGTTGTAATTATGCACATTTTTGGGGGTCCTGAAAGCCATTTGTATTTGATTTCCCATTTCTTTCTTTAGATTTGGGGAATTTTCTGGTATTATTTCATTGAAAAGATTGTGTATGCCTTTGGTTAGTATCTCTGCACCTTCATCCATCCCAATAAATCTTAAATTTGGTCTTTTCATATTATTCCATAGTTCTTGGAAATTCTATTAATGGTTTCTTATCATCCTCTCTCTGTGGTTCACTCTATTTTGTCCTCATTGCCTGAGGTTCTGTCTTCCAAGTGGTTTAGTCTGTTGGTGATGCTTTCTATTGAATTTTTAATTTGGTTTACTGTTTCATTCATTTCAAGGACTTCTGATTGATTTTTCTTCAGAATCTCTTTATTGAAGATATCTTTTGCTACCTGTACTTGTTCTCTTACATCATCCTATACTTTGCAGATCAGTTTAACTATGTACATTTTAAACTTCTTTGACATTTCTTCCACAGTGGTGTTATTCAGGTATCTTTGTTTGTTTGGGGTGATTTGTTTCCTTGCTTTTTCTTGTTATTTGTGTGTCTACCCATCTAACTGTATGGATCTGTAAAATTTCTACCCTGTGGATTTATAGCATCCCTAAAGGTTTCCAGTACCTCACTCTTTAGGGGGAGACA